CATGTTTTTATGTTATGCATTGATTTTTGGAAAACATAGATTCATGGAGTTATGCATATCCTCCAATGCCAGTATCCTTTATTATATATGATAAAAATATTTTTAATATCAGCACAAAAATAATCAGTATACTTGATCTCACAATGAAGGTGGCAAGTTTTCCAAATTATCATTTTCATTTGAAAACTCAAGTTTCCTCAGCAAAACTTCTGTCAGCCATTATCCTTGACATGACAGAATCACTCATTTCATTTTTGAGAAAACCATGATCAAACGCAAATCCAAGTAATTATAGTTTGTTGATCTTTGCTTTTAAATAGCAGTGATATGCCATGAAAAAATGTGGCTTCAGCTCACAATCTAAATAATCACACAAGGACATCTTCTCCAGATAGTAATTTTCTATATGAAAGAAGGGCTCTTCTTACTTCCTTTTCTGTAAGGATTAAGAAATTAGAAAACCAGTAATTTATCTTGCTTCATCAAGGTATGCCTGTGTGTGTGTGTGTGTATGTGTGTGTGTTGTCTTGTGTGTGCATGCATGCATGCGTGTGTGCACATTTGAATATGTGGTAGGGAAGAATAAAAAAATGGAACTTCAAAGATTAATTAATATGCTGTTTTTAGTAGTTTCTCAACATAGGCCTGGGCTATCCAGTGGGGTGGTCACGAACCACAAATACGTGGAGCACTTGAAATCTATCTAGTCTGAATTGCAGTGTGCTGCAGATATAAAATATATTCTGGATTTCAAAGTGTATTTTTTAAAAGGGTGTAAATATACCTCATTAGCAGATTTTTTTTAATCTGTTGAAATGTTAATTTTCTTTATGTATTGGATTAAATAGAAAATATTAAAATGAATTTCTTCCGATTCTTTTCAAATTTTTAGTGGGGCTACTAGAGAATTAAAAAAAATGTATATGGCTCATAATATATATTTTTGGATAGCACTGTTGTAGAGAAAAGAGGATTGCAATCAAATTTATTTGGGAAAGGTATATTCACTAGTTTTCCTTGAGGATTAATTATGCATTTTGGTTTATTATAAGTGCTAAGGATCCTGCACCCCCAATAAAAGTCCTTAAAATATTGGGACTGGAGAGACAGTACAGTGGCTAAGAAGCTTGCTTGCACATGGTTGACTCAGGTTTGATTCTTGACACCGTATATAGTCCCCTGAGCACCTGCCAGGAGTGATCCCTGAACACTGAGGGAGAGAGAGAGGGAGGCAGGGAGAGGGGAAAGGAAAGGGACTAGGGAGGGAGGAAGGGAGGATCAGGTGGAACTAGTATCTAGAGAAGAGGTTCCCAAATGTGTTTGGTCTACCATAACCCCTCATTTCAGAAAATAATCTCTCAGCCCCCCCTCAAAATCTATAGTTTTTAAGTGAACAAACAGAAAGTGCCCAGGCAACAACAGTCCCACTTCCAGCCCTTACTGCCTTCCCTACCCCCGCCCCCACATACATACACACAGTCCACCCACTTCCTACCCTTACCAGCTTCCCTACTCCTCTTCCACATTCATACACACAAACACACAGGAGGCTGTATGGATCACTTCGGGAAACATTGTATAGAAGTATAGAACTTACCAACTCTGGTTTAGAAAGAAAATGGTTCTGGTTTAATTTTCATTTTACTGATAGGAAAACTGAGGGCTAGAAGTTTTTGAATGTTAGTTTAGGTTAATGAAATGGGGACATTTTGAAATTTACCCTTCTTTGAGTTCCCCATCCCTTCCCTGGAGCTGAGGACTGAACCCTTTGCCCGTGAAGGCATTTGCCACACATCCCTGGCCTCCGATTTGGCTTTCTTAAAGAAAAAAAGAACATTTGGTTTTTGACCTGCAGTGTTCCATAACATTTTATTTTTTGGTCTTTTAAAATTATAAACAGGCTAAAAATATGAATAGGAAACAAGAATTCCAGAGTTCCCTTATGAAATACATGGCACACAGCTTATACAAGATTTCACAGAGTCACTGACTTTCTCAACTTACCCATGGACTTTTGTTACCAATTCTTCACTTCTAATGTAGGGATAATGGTTCTTATGGTAGTCGATTACACTACTATTCAATGATCATTTTTAAAACCACCAATCAATAAATGTTTATTGAATGCCCACTGTGCATATTGCGTAGTTCCACTGTAGTTCTATTCATTTCTTTACTTGTTGGGGGAGGGGCTTTACTGCCCAGACCCAGTCCTGCTGGCGATTACCTGGCCCACCCAGGCTGCTGGGGACCTCTCAGCTGCAGAAGGCATCCTGGGGAACCATTTGGTTCTAGGAATTGAGCCCAGGGTACATGCTCTCTAACCGCTGTGCTGTCTCCTTGCCCGTTATTTTGAGAAAAAAAAAGTAATTTCATGCAGAACTTAAATTGTTTAAGATTATTCAAGATTAAATATTGTGAAATTTTAATTTTCTGGAACTAACTCCTGGCCCCTGTTCTACTATTTTGAAAAAAAATTCCATGCTCACATTTGACCCAGCAATACCACTCCTGGGAATATACCCCGGAGAGGCAAAAAAGTATAGTCAAAGTGACATCTGCACTTGTTTGTTCATTGCAGCACTGTTTACAATAGCTAGAATCTGGAAAAAAACAGTGCCCGAGAACAGATGAGTGGTTAAAGAAACTTTGGTACATCTACACAATGGAGTGCTATGTAGCTGTTAGAAAGGATGAAGTCATGAAATTGACATACAAGTGGTACTTATATGTGTACTTGTATGTATACATGAAAGTATCATGCTAAGCGAAATGAGTCAGAAAGAGAGGGACAGACATAGAAAGATTGCATTTATCTGGGGAACATAAAGTAACAAAACACGAGACTAACACCCAAGGAGGTTTACCCCATGACTTAGAGGCCAACCGAACACTCTAGGGGTAAAGGCAGCTCAGATAGAGAAGGGAGCACCAAATAAAGGGTGTTGGGAAGATCTGCCCAGGATGGGAGATGCATGCTCAAAGTAGACTATAGACCGAACATGATTGCCACTCAATTCCTTTTTTGCAAACCATAGCACCCAAAAGGAGAGAACAAAAGGGAGTGCCCTGCCACAGAGGCAGGGTAGGATGGGGGGTGGAAGGGATACTGGGATTAGTGGTGGTGGAGAATGGGCACTGGTGAAGGGATGGGTACTTGATCATTGTATAACTGAAACCCAAGCAGAAAAATTTGTAAGTCTACAACTGTACCTCATGGTATTTCACTAATAAAAATTTTTTTAAAATTCCATGCAGAATTTAAATACATATAATACTAAGACATTTAAATATATGTATCTTAAGTTTACATATATAGACCCTTAAGAAATTTAATGTATCTATTTAAATTTATAAATATATGTACTCACTGGTAGCAAGATTCCTTTTCCCTCACCTTAAACGTGTGGAAATGCTCCATAGAAGCTTAGAGTATCGGGAATACCCAGAGTACTGGAAAGGTTAGTTCTCTAATGAGCAGTTAGAAAAACCATCATGTGCTACACGTGAACACTGTTCAGATATCTGTGGGAAATTGAACATTATTAACTTCAAAATGTATCTTCCCATGATCAATGATTGTTCCCCTACTGGGGGCCTCAGTACAGCAAGATGCAGAATCTCATGTCTTGCTTTTTTTTTTTTTAAATGAAAATGCCAAAGGATGTCCTTTTTATACAAGGCTACAAAAGATGCTTTATTCAGCAAGACAGTATTTAGTTTCAGGGAATGACCAATTATATGCTTTTGTAGATGTAAAGATAGAGGTGAGGAGGCTGGGAAATACCCTAAGAGGAAGTCCCCAAGTTCTGTCCCTGGCCATGCATGCCTGCCTCCTATTCCCTGCACCGCTAGGTAGGTATGTTCCCTGCACTGCACTGTACTGTCCTCCCGTTGTTCAACGATTTGCTCATGCGGGCACAGTAACGTCTCCATCGTGAGACTTGTTGTTACTGTGTTTGGCATATTGAATACGCCTCGGGTAGCTTGCCTATTTTTCTTTTTTAAGTATATGGTTGAACTGAAAGAGTCAGGGCCTGAGTATTGTTAATTCATGTTTGAGACCCAAATCTGATGATTTTCATGCTGCTCCTCCATTAAAGAGTTCAATTGCTACCCCCTTCTTCCAGGGATGGTATATTCTTATATTTGATGATGAAATGACTTCGTGTCATCACAACTAAATTATGCCACGACATTGACTTACTTGGCTTCCAGAGCCCTATGTCTGTTAATGCACACCCAAGTTCCCTTTTTCCTGTATTTTCTTTCTACAACTCTCGACTTGGTTACCTACCATACTTCCTGTGTATTCTTGGTATGTCATTTTTGTGCCAAGAATTCCCACTTGCTTTAATCCGCCATCTTTATCCCCTTTTCAGAAATCCTCTTCATTCTTTAAAACCAAGTGTCACTTAATGCCACGAGCCCTCACTTGCTCTTTAACACCAGATAAAAATACTCCCTCCTTGGAACTTTCGAAGCTCTTAAATCCCATCTTCCTGTGACATTACACAGATTTCCTAGTTTGAAAATAATTTTTAATATAACTTATTCCACTGAAGCACAGGTTAATTTTTGCTCATTTCTCTGTCCCTTAATAGCACTTTGAAAAATTTGAACCCAGTTCTTTAGAAAATATTTGATAGATAAATATAAAATCTCAGGAAAAGTAGGAGATATTACATATTAACATTTAGCATATAGAATATACTTATACTCACATGTAGGAGTTGGTTAGAAAGTGCCTCCTCCCATTGGAAAGCCCTATTTTAGAATAGGGACTAAGGTGGATGGTTGACTATTCACACTTTTGGAATTCTAAACATCTTTTCTAACTACCAGTGCTTTGCACAAGGATCTTAGCTTTCTTTTTACCCTACCCACTGCATAATGCCATTGGCAATTGCAAATGAGGTGGAAATTCACATAAATTAATGTCTGGGTGTGATCATATAAAATATCAGATTCCTCAGGAATGATTTTTTTTCCCCTTACAGGCATGTAATGAATTCACTACACATGTGATGAACCTTCTCCGAGAGCAGAGTAGAACACGTCCCATTTCTCCAAAAGAGATTGAAAGAATGGTGGGCATTATCCATCGAAAATTTAGTTCCATTCAGATGCAGCTCAAGCAAAGCACTTGTGAAGCAGTTATGATTTTAAGATCAAGATTCCTTGATGCCAGGTATGTGAGGCCACAAATCTTCTGCATGTTTTGTTTGCCTTTTGCTCCTTGCAAATGGTATTTAGTAAAACTCACCAGTTCATTTGAATCTTCTTTAATTTGACATTAATGCTCTTCTATACAGTGGATAGTAATTGACCTCGCAGTGCCTGTGTAGTCTAGCCTGTCATCTTAGAGTGGGGTTTCTTTTAGCTGTCAGGTTGGAGAGTTGAGGAAGATGTCAACTTCTCAGCTATTCATAACTTTGGACCATGTAGCCTTTTAACTCTGGTGGTTAGTAGTATTTTTTTAAGGATAAGTGTAATTACTTTGACTTTGTTTTCTAGGAATTTCTTGATATTACATTTCTTGTATACATGATGAGAAAATTGGAGATACTGGTACTCCTAAGAAGGAAGTGGTATTTTAGTTAATACCACAAAACCTCAAACCACAAAACCCCAGGCTCTGTTTTTTCAGATCAAGTCAAAAAAAGCCTGTTCCTATCTCTTGGAAAGATTAGAATGTTCCTGGAGAGATGAGAATGTTCCTTTTTACCTGAAACTTTCACATGAGTTAGAGATCAATTTTATGTAGTGTGTTTGACTTACCAGGTGACATGCAAAAACTGACAAATTGTTATGGTCCACTTTGCATAGATGTATCTGGGTATTGTTAAAACTTGTGACCAATCTTCAGTTTTGGAAAGGAGTTTCTATTTTATTTGCTTTCTCTCCCTTGAAATGTGACAGAGGTGATAATTATCATTCAGTTTTACAATATGAAGAAAATAACAAAGTCACCTTCTCAGTTGGAAGACAAATTTTATGGAAGTCTTTGTTCCCAGTGTTCTTCCTCAGAGCCACAGAAGCATCCTCAGAGCCACAGAGCATCTGGTACCCAGTCATTCTACCATTCTCTTAATTAAACAAAGCCTGGTACTGAATTATTCACCAAATAATGATTCTGCTTTATTCTGAACACTTCTTACCTTGCTTGCACTGCTGATCCAGTTGTACCTGAACAATAACAATATTCTTCCACTAGTCTCTAATTTTGTTATCCATTGCTCAGTTTCCATATTCCTTATCTATTTATATAGCATCTCTCTAATAACCTATATTGGTGAGAAATTAATGCAGGGGACCAGAGAAATCGGACAGCAGTAAAGGTACTTGCCTTGCCTATGGCCAGCCCTTGTGTGACCCCTGACACCGCATATAGTCCCCCATGCACCACCAGGGCTAATTCCTGAACACAGAACCAGGAGAAAACCCTGAGTACTACTGAGTGTGACCTCCTGAAAAAACATACAAAGCCATTGCTAGATGACTCATATATGCACTACTAAACCTGGCTTTCAAGAATTTTTGTGACCTCTTTTACCTGCATTATTGTTATTAAATTTTTAATTTTTAAAATTATTTTTCTATTTAAAAATAGAAGCTTAAAATGAAAAAACTGGAAAATATTTAGATGAATGAGGGAAAAGACAATCATATTTTAATAGCATTTAAATATTACTAAATATCTTAATATAGTTTCTTTTTGTTTGGGGGTCTTTACATTTTTCTCCTGTGATGACACAAAATGCATAACCAGTTTGTTTTTTAAAATATTTATTATGAATAAGCATATTTTTATAATTTTAAGTAATATTTTTGTGGCTGAAGTCTACCAAATGGATATATAATAAATAATTTACTTAGCCATTTCTTAATTTTTCTGCATTTAACTTGTCCCCATTAATTTTCATTATAATTTTTTCCTTCCTTCCTTCCTTCCTTCCTTTCTTCCTTCCTTCTTTCCTTCTGCCCTTTTTCCTAAGTATGTGTTTGTGCTGAGGATATAAAGGTAAACATACTTGCCCCAATTGAATAGCTTACTTTCTATTGGGGAGACAAAGAATAATAACACTTAAGCAAAAATTGCTGTAGTTATTCCACTCAGTAACATAATGAAATGTCATAGGATGATAAATACTATGAGAAAAAGCAAAGAAGATAAAAAAAAATAATGGAAAGAAGTATTCTTTTGACATATTTTTTTTTAACAACTAGTATTATGAAAACTTTTTTGCACTGAACTGTTTTGATCTCTAGGATCTCTCCTGAGGATTAATACCTCAAATAAAAGTATTGGTCCAAAGTCTGAACATTATTATTACTCTCATTTTATCACTGAATTGTTAGCGGTAGGGCGTTCGCCTTACAAGCGGCCAGCATGGCCGACCCGAGTTCGATTCCTCCGCCCCTCTCGGAGAGCCCGGCAAGCTACCGAGAGTATTCGATATGCCAGACACAGTAACAACAAAGTCTCCAATGGAGACGTTACTGGGCCCGCTCGAGCAAATCGACGATCAACGGGAGGGCCTTTACCTTACCTTTACCTAAAAATGAGATACCTCTTGATACTGTCTGTTTCCTTTGTCTAGGCATCATTCTTTTTCTAGCCTCTTCCACCCCATCTGTCATCCTCAAAAGTCCTGTCCTCCCCACCCTGGGTACAAGGTGGAGACCAATTGATGAGTTGTCCTCAGAGGGTATCTGGTGTGAGGCTGGAATGGAACTGGTGTGCGTGTGCTCGCCCCAGTAATGGAGTGAGAGCTTTGCTCCTCCTTCCCTCTAGCCTAAAGGATCCTTTCAAAGCCCACTCAGTCACTTCCGGGTCTGATTGTTGCCTGTCTTCAAAACTGATACACATTTTCACAGATCTCCAGAGCAGCCTCCTGCAGACTGCCTTTATTCTCAGAATCATTTCATAAATGTTTCTAAATATTTCAGGAGCAGGTCTTCACTCCCCTAGTAAGTCACATTGAAAACCATAACTGTCTTGTGTTTATGTCTCCTCACAATTCCAATAGGGATATTACACATAATAATGGCCCCCTCCCCCCCCCCCAAAAAAAAAGCACCAGGGAGAGAACTGAAAGGGCTAGTGAGCATGCTTGTACACGGGAGGCTCAGGATTGCCCTCTGGCAACCCCTGAGCAACGTGCTTGGAGTAGCCCCTGAGCCCTGCCAGATGTGACCTCCAAACCAATACATTAAAAAAAAACTTGACTAATCAGATAGATAAATATAAATATTCCCACTTAATGCCTTGGGGTGGGGGGGTGGAGATGGGGGTCACACCTGGTGGTGCTCAGAGCCTACTCCCAGTATGGTGCTGGGAGTTAAATCAGGCCTTCTACACCAAATGCATGTGCTACAGTCTCTTGACATATTGCCTCACACCCCACTTAGTATTTTTAACAGCTCAACTCAGAGTTTGAGATGCACTGGAGCAATAGTACAGGAAGTAAGGCCTTGCTTTGCATGGGGGCCCATCCTCACACAACGTGTGTGGTCCCCCCCATATGATGAGGGGTCACTCCTGAGTACAAATCCAGGAACAGCCCCTGAGCATTTCCCCTGAGAGAACAAAAAGCACAGAAATCAGTAGCATCAGAAAATAGAAAACATTTCAACGTGACCAATTTAGCATTTTAATAGGATATTATGTAATATATGTATGTATGTATGTATGTATGTATGTTTGTGTATTTTGGGGTCCAGACCCAACAGTGCTCAGGGATTTCTCTTGGCTTTGCGCTATGGAATCATTCCTTGCAATGCTCAGAGGATCGAACCCTTGTCTGGTGTGTTCAAGGCAAGTGCCCTACCCACTATACTATTGTTCCAGCCCCTCTGTAACTTATTTAAAAGAACTAACTGACAAAAAGGAATTCTTGCTAGCAAAACCTGTTCTCCTATCATGAAGATCTGTGCTTATAATTATTTACACAATTGCATCTCTAATGCATGCACCTAGATGATTTATGTTGTTCCAAGAAGAGAATTTTGTTCGCAAGCTATACAGAAGTAGCGTCTGGAGTGATATGTATAGTGGGTAGGACACTTGTCATGCACGCAGCTGATCTGGTTCAATCCCCAGCATCCCATATGGTCCCCCAAGCCTAGCCATGAGCGCAGAGCCAAGACTAAGTCCTAAGCACTGCCAGTAAGTCGTCCTTCTGTGCCCACCCCCCACCCCCCAAATAAATAAAAAGAAGGAAAAAAGAAGAAGGTGGCAGGGTGTCGGGTAAGAGCCTTTTCTGGGGAGACTACTGTAAGCTATGGGGGGCGAGGGGGCGCAGCACAGCCTGGGATGAGACACTGCTACATATGGCCTGAGGCACAGAAGATGAGAGTGTGGTAAACTCTGGGGGAGTATGAAACAGGAAGTATTTAATGGGTGTTTTCTACTGAAAGTGTCTTAGGCCTTCAGGTGAGTGCACACACAAAGCGTTTCTGTAGTGTCTCTTAGCAGGCCCTCTTGGTGGATTAGGCCAGGTTTTTCTGCCGCAGGCAAACATGCCCTTTCAGATAGATGATTCCCTTGTTCCGTCTGGCTTTTTGTAAGGCGTCTCTGATATTTTCTTGGTAATTGGACCAGCCCAAGCATTTGCAGGGCAAAAACGTCTAAGAATAGATTTGTATAGATCCATCAGCTTTTGTCCTTGGAAGTGTTATAATTTGGACACAGCCAGAATGTCTGGGATGGGATGTTTTGTTCTGCACATAAATTTGCCCTGAGACTTTTCTTTCTTATTTTCTTCTTTGTAATGTTTATTAAAACCACACCTAAGCAAAACAGAAAGTAAGCCAAATTTACCTTTGCTTTCCCAGATAAGTTTCTGCACATTCTTCCTTTCCTAAGTCCTTACTTCCTTTCAAAATGCTGTGTGCCAGCTATTCTTCATTGTACCCTTGCTTCTTAAACGCCCTGTCTTAGAGGGAGGAAGTCACATGCCAATGGTAGGATGTGGAGTGGCTCAAGGAAGGTGGGAGTCATCACTCAGAGTTAGCTATGCCGGCCATCTGAGAACGTGGCTCTGGTTTGGCTGACCTTTTAATTTTTTATAAAACCCCAGAAACCTAATTTTTTTCCCAAGCAAGTCATTTTGTGTATTCTCAACAAACATCTGTGCGCCAGTTAATTACCTGTAGGTTTGAGGTGTCAGTATCTGTCCCAGACCTTTTCCACCCTCCTCCCACTCCCCTGCTCATCATTGTGCTTCCAGAAAGTGCCCCAGCTCCAGGCTTTGTTTTGCTTTTCAAGCAAAATCTGACACCTGCAAGAATGCTAATTGCAGTTCTGACTGGATTCCTCTGCTTTTCTTCCTTCCCTTCCCACCTCCTCATTCACTCTCTCAAATCAAATCCTGTTGATTAGAATCCCCAAATAGATTTTGAGTCTTCTTCATCCCTCAGGAAACAATAGTGTAACTTTCCAAAAATGATTAAAATTAAGAAATTTGGGGGCTTAGAATTTGAGATGTTTTGATCAGACCTAGATTTCCTGCTCCCTTGACTCTCCCTTAATGTCAAGACATAGATCACATATTTAACCTGCCAGGTTAGTGACATCATTTTAGCAAGAAGAAATTTTATAGGGTAACACTTTTATAACTGCCTGCTGATTCTGTCTGTGTTGAATATAAGACAATGGAAACGATCATTAAGGTTGTTTGGGAGAAAGCATTAGAAAATTACTAAGCAGAGGGTTTCCAAGTTACTAGAAAATCTGAAAACTGGAATAATTTAAAATCTTAATAGCAAAATCTCAGTGACATTTTTCTATATGAAATAAATTGTTAAATACTTGATCTTTTGACCTGGCCATCTCCTTCTTATTAAAAACTAAAAAAGATTTTCTCCTTTTTTCTTTCCCTTGTGGTCAAATCTACCTCTGTCAAGACAATAAGTGAAGCTGAGAACTTCAGAAATCTTTAATGTATTTTTTTCCTTATCTTCTCAGCTATCCTCCACTTACTCTTCATCTAATATATCATGAGTTTCTAATGCTTTTACCTTTCAAATAGGCAATTGTTTTTATTTCTGTAACTGTTACCCTATGCTAAGTTACCCCTTTCTTATTTGACCCTTGCATTCATCTATTTAAATATCTCTGATTACCTCTCATGCCTCTAATTTGTCTCAGCATTTGGATAATTTTTTTAAAGCTTTTATAGGGTCCATATCTGTTGGCATTTGGGAACCCTGGGTCCACTTCTGATAGTTTTGGAGGAAGGCATTCTGTGCCCAGGGATCAGACTCAGGGTCACAACTTAAGCTATGCACCAGTCTACCAAATCACATTTTAATTTTTTTAAATCTATATTAATAAGTTAATTTGGGGGGCCTCCTATATGCACAGTAGGCTCAGGGCCACTTCCTGTAGTAATCGATCACCTGGACCAGACAGTTCAATACTAAGACCTGGCAATGTGGTGTTCTTGGACCCAGCAGTACAGGTATCCCCGAGGTCACACCCACTGGTGCTCAAGGGGCCATGCAAAATTGGAATTGACCTCCTGCAAGGCATGTGCCCCTCACCACTGAACTATCTCCCTGGCTCACACAGGGTATTTTGAAAGCATGAAACTCGGGTCAGAAAGATAGAAGCAAGGGTCAGGCTCTTGCCTTGTATATGTGAGATCTCATCTGGACCCCCAGATGTGATCTCTGAGCTCAGTCAGGAATACCTCCTGCCCTGTCAAAATAGCATGAGATTAAAAAACTTTGTTTTCTGTTGTAGTCAAAATCCAAATGTTCTTATGGGATCCCGTAAGTCTGTGTAATATGTATCTCCCATTCTCTCTGGAGTCATTTCATTTATTTGAGTTTTGTTTTGTTTCGTTTTTATTTTTTTTCACTGATTCAGCTTCTTCTAGCCCTTTGGATTTTCCAAACTCTTTTCTGTTTCAGGACTATTTCCTCTGTTCATTCTTTTCCCCTGGAAATATACTCTAGTAGACATTGTCTGTTTCCAACTAGATCCTCATGAAGTACCAATATTGAATAAAGAACAAACTTTATTTCTGATATTTTCCTCAGTGACTGCTATATCTTAGAATGAGACAAAGAGTCCTTTGGACACTAAGAACACAACTTATAATTCATATTAGACCCTAAGAATGTTAAAAACACTAATTTTTCATATGTTTAATAAAATTCATTTATTTCTCTTTTTTATTTTTAATACTGATTGTAACTACAATTCTATCTTTGGTTCTTATCTTAGACGAAAAAGACGTAACTTCAGTAAACAGGCCACAGAAATCTTGAATGAATATTTTTACTCACACCTCAGCAACCCCTACCCCAGTGAAGAAGCCAAAGAGGAGCTGGCCAAGAAATGCAGCATCACAGTGTCCCAGGTGAGCTGGCTCTTGGCCGTCCTGTTTCCTTCCTCATCAGTGAATCTGCTGCTCCCTCAGCGCATTCTCATCAAATCTTATAACACATATGCCAGCATCAAAGAAGGTAAAGAAGCTCTAGGTGTTCCCACATTAATTTGAAAAATAATAATAAAATGTTAAGTACCAAGGCAGCAAGGTGACGAGCCTTACCCCAGGTAAATCTTCTGTAGAAGGAGCATCAACATGCCATAGGGAGAAGCATTTTCCACGGAGGTGACGCTTTAGAAAATGGCACTGAGTCCTGCTTTTCTCATGCTAGATGACTGACCTCAGCATCTTCCAGTAAGGAGCCAATTTCTTTGTGCCAAGAGGAAATTTACTATAACTCTTTGGTGAAAGCTCTGAGAAATTCACCAAGCCCTGTTTTCATAACCATGGCGTCATGTTGGGGACCCAGTGATGTCTTTGCATTCCTGATTGTCATTAAGTACAATAATTGATTCAAATCTGTCACTCTTGTTTCTTTTAAACCCTTTATTTGTAATAAATTTTGGTCCTCAAGTCGCCTACTATCTTTACTTTTAAGCAGATAGGCTGTTATTTAACTTGATGATTGGAAACAAGTAAACAGCTGTACCTCCTTATAGATAAGTATATCAGATTTCCAGGAGCTTAAAAAGGCAGTTTTATATAAATATCATTGTCAATTATAGATTGTCACTGGAACAGTGTTTTTTTATAGCTTGCAAAAGTGATAACATGACACTTTGGCAGGAAGTTACATGTTCTCTAGTTATCATATGTCACGAAAAATTAAAAATAATAGTTGCTATATTCATTTTATTGATTTTTCTCTAGGAAAAATAGCTTCTTAGTTTCATTTCCAGCTGTGCTATAGTTTTACTCCTGACTCTGTGCTCAGGTCATTCCTGGCAGGGGTCAGGGGACCATGTGTAGTACCAGGGTCAAACCTGGATGAGCCACATACAACGCAAGTCCCTAACCCACTGTACTACCTCTGTGGCCTGCTTTGTTAGAATTTGAATAAATGTTAGTAAGCATTTGAGACAAAGCTAATAACATACGTGTGTGTGTGTGTATAACATACTATATTATTGAATATATTATATTATTGTCTTTAAAGCTAACTTTATGGGGCTAGAAAGATGGATTGTGGGCTTTGCATGTGGCAGCCCCAGGCTCTATCCGTGGCATCACATTGTCCCCTGAACAAACTCTGAGAAGCTTGTTTAACAACCAACTAGGTGCAGCTTCTGAGCTCTACCAAGGGGAGCCCCAAAACAAAGGAAAAAGCAAACTTAGTGATCGTGTTCCTCTCTTTTGCCAAGTGAAGAAGTTCAGCTATTGATTTAAATTGTGGAAGTGTCTCCCCTCACCTTGTTGAACCTTTTTACTACCTAAAAAAACTTCATTTATCTTCAATAGCTCTTTCCCCCCACATCTCTGAAACTAAAACAGGGATGTCATCATTTTAACTATTAGATACACAAATTCCTAGCCATATAAATTGGTGCCTTTTTGTTTAAGTTTCAGAATGAAAGCAGAGAATGTTCCAGACCTGACAGATTAGCTATTTTTGAAACAAAATACATCATTTAAATATACCTCATGCTAAAACATAATTAGAGGGCTGGAGAGCTAGCTCAATGAGCCGAGTGAATGTGGTTTGATTCCCAGTACCACATGGTCCCCAAGCATAGCCTGAAGTCACACAGGTGTGGTTCCTGAGTTGTGACCCCCCCAAAAACAAAGCAGACATCCCCACTAATGTATGAGAATAACATAATCAAAGGAATTTTATTAAAAAATATAATACAGTTATATCTAGAGTCCAGAAATTATTCATATAGAAAACTGTTAAATGTTGAAATGTAAACAGGCAGTTGTAGCGACATTATTTTTGCTTAATTTAGAGTATATGAAACTAGTTTCTTTATTACTTAAAATACCTCAGAATAAGCATAAGAAGCCAGAAGAAAATATGAGGAAAGATCTTTTGTACTTTGAGGTTAGGAAGTAATTTCTTAGGCAGGACACAAAATTTGTAAGCAGTGAATGAAAAGATTGATCAATTCGGTGGTAGAACATTTTTCAAAGTACTTAATAAAGACTATGAGCCATCAGCATGATACAACCATTTTAGTAACGATTGTATCAGGCAAGAATCATCAATAGATATTAAATTTGGGAGAAACTTTGAAGAAGAATGTGGTCTTAATGTTTCTCTCCATAGACTTATCCCAAGGGAAGTATTAAGCAATTAAAAAGGGTGGAGAATGGAACGAACTTTGACCAGGTGATTAGAATCATTATCATACTACCAGGATAGGGGCAGATGGAAACTATATAGAGTATCTAGTCTGAGAATGTAACCTGAATCTGTCTGATCACTAGAGTACAATCCATACCTCAAGTGATGAATGCACTATTTGGGGAAAAAGGAAAGGAGAGGGCACATATTATTGAACAGTATCAGTGAGGGCTAGGGAGGTCGCTTAAGTGGTAGACCACATTAGGTAGACCTAATGTGTGAGATCCTGACTTTGATCCCCAATACTGCAGAACCCTGCATGACCTCCGACTCCCAGAGCACCACCCCATGTGACCCTCAAGCACAGTCAGATGCCGGCCCCTATAAAATGTCTAAAAATGGGGAAATGTATTAAAGGAGGGCCATGAAAATGGCACAGATTAAAAGACATTAAAGAGACCCATTAGATCAATGTAATCCCTATCCCCACATTGAATCCTTTGGTGGTTGGTAGGTGGGAAGGGAAGGCATCCATAGCAGATTATTAGATTTGCTGAAGTTTTTGTTGTTTTGTTTTTGGCCACAACTAGAGTTTCTCAGGAGCTAATCCTTGTGGTGTTCAGGGGACCAGGAGTGGTGCAAAGGATTGAGCCTGGGCCTCCTTTGTGCAAAGCATGTACTCAGCCTGCTGAACTATCACTCTGGCCCCCCAGTAAATTTTCACTGGTAATTGTATCATGGTTCGGTAAGAGAGCATGTATTTAGACTAGGAAATATACATGGACTGACTTAGAGGTAAAGGACCGTGATATATGTGAGTTATCATGTATATGTATATGTGCTGCCGAAGCGAGCACATAGCACAGCGGTAGGGCATTTGCCTTGCACGCAGCCAACATGGCCGACCCGAGTTTGATTCCTCCGCCCCTCCCGGAGAGCCCGGCAAGCTACCGAGAGTATCTTGCCCGCACGGCAGAGCCTGACAAGCTCCCCGTGAAGTATTCGATATGCCAAACACGGTAACAACAAAGTCTCCAATGGAGACGTTACTGGGCCCGCTCGAGCAAATCGAAGATCAACGGGAGGGCCTTAAATTTAATCATGTATATGAGCTTATGTATATAAACACACAAACACATGTACACAGAGTGCAGCAGAGAGTACACGTAAACAGTGATGAGTCAGATATGGTAAGCATTATTAATAGCTAAAGCTGGATAAAGAAATACACAGATGTCCTTTATACCACTTTTATTTTTTGCTACTTATTTTTTTAAATTTGAAATTATTTCAAATAAAACCTTTCTTAAAATGTGAAAATAGGCCAGGGATGTGGCTCATTGTGGTAGAGCACATGTCTGTCTGTGCGAAGCCTTGGATTGGATTGTTGGCACCATGCATAGACAAAAATGTGAAGACAGCCCACACACTGCAAAGATATATGAGTGTATAATCAAGAAGACCAAAATTCAGAATATACAATTCTGGATATAAATATGTAAATATGAATCCAGAATTTATAGAAACTCCCATAAATAAACATATCTGTCTGTAAATAAACAAAATCTATATGATTTTAAAACTGCAGTGAATTAACATTTTATATTTCATTTGTTTAGGGAATTTTTTTGTCTTTGTTTTTGGATCCCACCCAGCAGTGCTCAAGCATTACCAGTGGCTCTGCATTCAGGGATCAGGGATCACTCCTCACAATGCTCAGGGGACCATTATGGGATACCAGGGATTGAACCCAGGTTGGCTGCACGCAAGGCAAGTGCTCTGCCCTCTGTGCTTTCTCCCTGGCCGCAGTTTTTATAATTTTTTTTCCCCCTGCAAGTAACTGTTAATCCTCCATCCCTAGGGCCTGGCTGCAGAGTCCTAGTTTGCGAGGCAAAGGGCTGAGCTTAGATCACTTAGGGCTGCATCCTCTCCCCTAAGCTTCCTTGCAGACTCCAGGCTAGTTAGTAATCTGAGATCTCCTTACTCATTAAACTACTTATTCCAATGCAGTGAATATTCAGTAAGCTAATTAAAATTTTAAGTAAGATTTCCTTATTAAAAAAAAATCTATTAAAATAAGAAGAAGCTCGTTAAAATGATTAGAATGAAGGAAAAAAAATGACTATCAAAATACAGTGTCTTTATCAGCTATCCATAAAGGCCTTTACAATTCTTTGGCAGTAGACAGAGTAGACAGAAAGCAGAAGGGGATTTTCGTGTAAGTATGCAGTCTGGGAAACTGGAGTCAAGTTGACGGAAAATGGCAATGAGTTTTGTTAAGACAGTTCTTTCATACTGTCTTAAAAGTCTGTTCTATAAAAGCCCCAATTGTGCATCTACATGGAGGTTGTATGTCTTTAAATTGCATAAAAAAATAGAGGAGGAAGTTGTAAAAAGAAGGGAATTTTGAAGATGTGGTAACACCAAGATCAGGTAACTAGCAAGATTTAAAGAAAATAGAAGGAGTCTCTGATTTTTTCATTTTCTGTAAAATTGGCTTCATAATTTGCATGGTGTCTGAAGATTGCACCTACAATGTCAGGTTTTATATTCATTTTAGAAGTGACTTTTGGCAGGAGGTGGGCATCTTCCGAAGTGGTGCTCTGGAGGTCCAGGACCCCACTGGCAATTCTCAGCAAGTTGGGTTGGTGGTTCAATGCAAGAACACAAGAAAATAAAAGGCAAAAATGTATTATTTTGTTAGAGAACAGAGAATCATTGAAAGGTCAAATGGAAATTTTGGAAT